CCTCAATCCATTATCTCTTTCCAATACATAGTGCAAATGACCTTTCAATTTACTAGATGTTCATCTAATTTGAATGCCTGATCTGTTTTATACTGGGAGTATCTAGAGCAGACTTTAGTCCTTGTTAGATGTTGTGGAGTCAACTAAGCTTCATAGCAACCCTTATGAACAACCTTGCCCTATCCTGTGACATCCCCGCAAACTCCAGAATGCACAAGCCCATTGTTGCAGTCACTGGGCAAATCCATCTTATACTGAGTATTCCTCTCTTTCACTGATCCTCAACTTTTCCAAGCATGGTATTTTTTTCCAAGGACTGGCAACATGCTCAAAGTACATCAACGTTTCACCATCCTTGCTTTTAACAAGCACCCTGCTTGCACTTTTTCGAAGACAGATTTACTTATTCTTTGGTAGTCCATGGGATATTCAATATTCTTTGCCAACACCACAATTTAAAGGTATCCATTCTCCTGCAGTCTTCCTTATTAATGAATAAGAAAGTATCTTTCACATGCATATGAAGTAAATGAAAATATTATGACTCGGGTCTGGTGCACTTTAGTGCCACTCTTCTCCAAGTGATTACCTCTAGAGTTTCCAGATCTTCTGGTTGCTTTTAAAAACCTGATGAGTTAAGCCCATGGATGTCTGTGCAATATTTCTGCAACAGTATGTGAATCAATAAATATCTTTACAAAACTTAAAAGTTTAATTAAACACTTTACAAGCCTGGATCACTGTCAGCAATGACCTAAATAATAAAGGTAGACAAATGTTTAATACTGTGCAGGCCCAACACAGCATATATGCAAGTTAGGTTCAGTGGAAGGATCACTATTTTCTATCTGCATAGCCGGATCATTATCATTTGATGTGTATGAAGTCCAAGGCATCTATGAGTATACTTCAAAAATTCTTATTGCTGCTGCAATGTTTAATTGCATTCAATTATCTTCACTTACTCATTGATTTTTACTTTTATTCTAGGTCCTTGGATGTGGCTCTGTTGCTCAGGCTGTCCTCAGTCGAGGGCATTTTGGAGGGATTGTCACAATAAATCTTGGATTTGCAATGGCTGTGACAATGGCCATTTATGTGAGTGGTGGTGTCTCTGGTAAGTCATATATATGATGATAACTCCTAACACAGCCATTCCAATGTACTGACTTCACCTTTTAAACATGCAAGCACAATTACAAAGTGCTAAGTACTTTACATGTTTTAATTTACTTCTCATTCTACCAAAATATGTATTTGATTCTTTTTTAATAGATAATAAAATGACCAATGAACAGTAAGCTATTTGTCCACCGTTTAGGAAGAAACAAAGATGAGGGTTGAGAATTTAGAATGGACTGATTTTTAAGTCTGTCCACTGCATCATTTAGCCCATCATTCAGTGTGCTCTTCTACTTGTTCTGCCTCACATTTGGAAGCCATGTCTCAAATGCTCCATGAATAGCTCAGTGAAGGTTACTCCACACAAACAAGTCCGTGGACCTTTATCTACTGCAGTTAATGACAATGCAGAATCTCTTCCAAAATGACTGGCACTTTCACAGAAGTTTAAGTTTCAACCAGAAAGTCTTGGCTTAATTCATTCCCCAGAGATGGACTGATTAGAAATTGTTTGCTAAGTCCTGAAGGGTCTAATAGAATGATGGCACTCAATGTGGCTTGGGAACTTAAGAAGGGAGGATAGAAACCCTCTAATTATCGAAGCACTGGGAATCTTTCAGCAGCTTAGTCTAAGCCCTGAAGGAAGACAGTTGACGATAAGCGAAGAACCGCCCCCTCCACCCCCGTTGCCTTTGAATTGATTATGACTCAGTGATTCCATGCACACAGGAGTACATTGCTCCATACAGTTCTCAGTAGCTGATTTTTCAGAAGTAGACACCTGGCCTTTCTTGCAGGGCACCTCTGGTTGCATTCAAATGTCTAGCCTTTTGAATAGCAACAAATCACACGAGTCATCTGCATCACCTAGATCTTCACAAAGTTTTTGAGCAACTGTTCATGCTTCCATGCTGAGCCCTGGGCTGGCTGTGCATCCTTTATCTGCATCCCCCTCAATAACAGCACTCTGCGGTAGATGTTGTTGCCTCCAATTAAGAGTAAACCAGGACTCATGAATGTTAAGCAAATTGCCAAGAGCCATCCAACTGGGAAAGAAAGTGTGTTTGGGGTGAGGAAAAGAATTTATTCATTGTTTATGAAAGACTGCAAGCAGGATGGCAAATAAGGGTTAAAATGTGGCACTGGTAGGAAAGGAAGCTAGCCCTTCTCTCTGTCTCTTTTATGAGCATATCACTATTCAGCTTCTCTGAGAATTGATGGCTTTGAGAACCTGCAGGGCCCATACCACTGACTCACTGGTGACACCCACACAGGTGATACCATCAGTACTGACCTCAGCAAAGGCGATGGACATTTGTGTGGGGGAGGGAACTATCTCATGGTAGCTGTAGCTAACACACTGGTTTATGGGCACAAGTGAGGTCTTCTTTAAGGATTCTCAAAGGAACCAATGTTCATTGGGCATAAAAAGAAATGTCCCATTTTGTGGTCACAGACTGGTGAGATCAGCTAGCATTGGGCTTTTAGTACAATATATTTATTACTGTACTGAAAGGACATTATTACACCCTGGTCTTTGCAAATGTGCAGGTGGTTTAATGATCAGATCCAGCCATCCAGCCATCCAGAACCCAGAACACCTTGATTCTACAGCATCCCACACAAAGTGTCAATGTTGCTTACTTGTTCTCAGGCCATGGGCTTTATTTACGTAGCATCATGGAAGGAAAAGAAATTCTCTGAAGAGACAAAGAAACAAGCATATTCTAATTTTCTTGCTTAATAACAAATACATACTAAAGTCATCTTGATCATAAACTTGTCCACACATGAGGACTGGAAAGTGTCTTGTTTTGAATCAAGACTTTTGTTCTGCTCACCTAGAACCTGCATCCAGATCTCCTGAGCTTCAGCTGCTCCTTGAGGCTCTTTGTGTGAATAATCTGTCATGACAAAGGCCCTTTGCAGAGATGAGACTGGCCTGTGGAAAAACTCTGACACTCATGTTCTACCCACTGCACTGCTCTGCTTTGTGCTGTGTTGAACCACAAGTGACAACTCACCTCTGTTGGGAACTATTGTGAGAAGCCAGTTGGCCTCCAACCAAAATGTCAGGGCAGCCCTGCTGTGCCTTCTTCTGAGCCCAGCTTCTACCCCTTGGTTCTTTTCCTCATTAGCTACAAAGCACTGGTCCTGATACACTATTTCTCCTACCCCCAAACAACTTTCCCTCTCTGCAGTCTGGACAATCTGAATAAAGGCCTTTAATCAATTACTTCTTTGCCATTCCTGTGCTATACTAAAAACCCAATAATAAGTTCACAAAGTTCTGTATAAAATGGATGAATCTAGAGGACATTATGCTAAGCAAAACAAGTCAGTGACAATTATGGCATATGGCCACTGTTAGAAAAAGCCAAGGAAAGGTTTACAGACAGACAGAATAGTGGTTGGTTGCTGGGGATGGGAAGAAAATAAAAATTAATAAATAGGTAAGTTTGGAGAGGAGGAAGACAAAAATACAATAAAAGCTTAATTATCAACAGATTATCCAGTAGGCTGGATTCTATGAGGAGAAGTGTGGCATCAGGATTGGTGAAAGAGTCATCAACAACCTGTGTTATGCAGATGATACAACCCTGCTTGCTGAAACTGACAAGTACCTGAAGCACTTGCTGCAGAAGGTCAAGGACTGCAGCCTTCAATATGGATTTAGGCTCAATGTCAAGAAGACAAAGATTCTCACCACTGGGCCAATTGGCAGCATCGGGATGGATGGTGAAGAGATTGAGATTGTTCACAACTTCAGTTTGCTTGGCTTCACAGTCAACACTCTTAGCACAAGTAGCCAGGAAATTAAAAGACATATTGTGATGGGAAAGTCTGCTGTTAGGGACCTCTCCAAAGTACTGAAGAGCAATGGTGTCTGTCTAGAGAATAAGGTGCATCTGATACAGGCTATGATCTTTGCTATCACTTGTTATGGATCAGAGTTGGACCATGACTAAGGAGGATAGAAGGAGAATTGATGCCTTTGAGCTGTGGTGCTGGAGAAGAGCATTGAGTGTACCATGGACTGCTAAGAAAATCAACAGATTTATCCTGGAGAGGGTTGAACTGGGCTGCTCCTTGGAGGCAAGGATTCTGGGGCTTTGTCTGACATACTTTGGACATGTTGCCAGGAGGGACCAGTCCTTGGAGAGGGACATCATGCTTGGGAGGGTAGAGGGACAGCGCAGGAGGGGAAGGTCCTCTATGAGGTGGATTGATTCAGTGACTGGGGTAATTGGGATGGGAGTGTCAGAGACAGTGTGATTGGCACAGGACAGAGCAGAGTTTAGGGCTGTTGTATAAAGGGTTTCTATGAGTCTCAAATGACTCGACGGCACATAACAACAACAACAACAACATCTATTGTAATATATCAACGACAGCTCAGCTTCTTGCCACTAGGCCACCAGAGCTCCCTAGTAAATTGTAGTAATGTTATAAAACAAGATGTCTGAATGAGTGTAAGAAATTGTAATAAAAATCTGATAAAATAAAATGTATATGAATGATTAAATAAATTTGTAATTAAAATTCCTTAAAACAAAATGTGTATCAAGGATAGAAAGGGGGAAAATAATCATTTATAAACTTTCACTCAAATGAAAAAAAAATCCTTATTTTGAACTCCTCACTACAGCCACACCTCAAAGGTATAGGGAGTTGTTTTTAGACTATCACAATATAATGAGTCTTGCACTAAATCAAGGCACATGAATATCATGGTTTTCTAGTGCACATAAAAGTTATGTTTACACTTTGCATTAGTTTATTAAATGTGCAACACATGAAAAATCGCTTGAAGTATTGTTAGAATCATGACCAAATAGCCGACTGAAGTAGTAAAAGCTGTCAGAAAACTAGCATTCATAAACTTGTTTGATGCAAGGTGGTCACAATTTGTAAAAACATAAAACCCAACAAACCCACTGTCCATCCTTCAGTTAGTTATCTGTGCAGTTCAATAAATGAAAGCAAAATGAAACCAGCTATGCTAGGTGTGCAGGTATTCTGATACTTGTCATCCTATATGAGGTCTAAGGGGAATAATAATTCTTGCCTCAGGGTATTCACTTTCAGGAGGAGCTAAAATGCTTAAACCTCCTGTACAGATTGGATTGTGTCTCCCTCCTTCCAAAATAGGTGTTGAATTCCTGGACTTTATATCTATGGATGTGCTTCTGTTTGGAAATTAGGATTTTCTTTATTATGTTAATGAGACTGTTACTAGTTTAAGTTGAGTCCTAAACCTAATGACTTCTGAGCTATAAAAATAGATTCCAAAATCTCTGTAGATGTTCATTGAAATGAAAAATAAATAAACAAATTTAAAAAAAGATACTACAGTAAAATAAAATTACAAATTTATGTCTAAAAAAAACTCTTATAAAAATGAAAGCTATCGTTGTATAAAACCTGTGAAAAACTGATAAACCAAAAAAAAAAAAAAATAGACCAACGTTAGTCCCAGAGACACATAGATGTCATGTGAAGATTGCTTTCTTTTTTGGGTGTTTTTTTTATTATTAATTTTAATGAAAGTTTACAGAGACTTAGGGTTTCCAGTCATTCAGTGTCGCACTTTTCTCCCTGCCCACCCTCTCCCCCCAATTCTCTCTTCTCCTTGAAAAGTAGATGAAAAACTCTTTCATTGTTATGTAATCCCTTCCCCCAAATCCACTCACTGTGCAGCCTTCATTCTGGACTCCTGTCATGACAATACCCAATCATATATCCCTTTTAAACAGTTCAATCCCTCATCTGTTTTAATGCAGTATATACCATTCATCCCCTCCTTCTCTGTCTTTTCTCAACCCTGAATGTCAGTCCCATTTTACAACAGTGTCCCTATGTAATATTTGTCATGAGGATTGTTTTCAAGCCAAGAAATACCAAGAATCAGAATATACTGGATAGCAATGGGTCTGTAGGAGCATTTTTTAGGATGTGTGGGTTTTTTAATGATGTACATAAGTCTTTTTTTGTGGGGGTTTATGTTTAAAGCCTCATTGGTATTTGCTACCATATTTTGATCAGAGATGTTTTCTTATGTTCCTTTTATCCTCCCACAGAGATTGCCTCTGGGTGAGGACCACCTGTGAAATACTTAATAGAGCAAGTTTCTGTGCCTTCCTGACTCTCTTTTTAGAAAGCTTCCTCGTCTAATGATGGCAGGTGGATTGATTACTAGTTCTTCCTCTCTCACACATACAAACACAGAGAAAACTAGTAATCCCTCTGCCTTCCTTAGAACTAGTAATCCCATCATTAAAACTAGTAATCCTAGAATATTGAGTTCTTCCTGATGCCTCTATACAAGGTTTTCTCCTCAATTCTGTACTTTTGGCCCGCCCTCTCACTTCAGTAGTCTTGTCATCTTTCTTGCAGGTGGCCACATTAACCCTGCTGTGTCTTTTGCAATTTGTGTCTTTGGACGGATGAAATGGTTCAAATTGCCTTTTTATGTGGGAGCCCAATTCTTGGGTGCCTTTGTGGGGGCTGCAACCCTCTTTGGCATTTATTATGGTGAGTAGGACCCCTACAAATCTGAAAGGTAAGGAGAGGTGGGCATAATCTGAGAATCACTTGACAGAAAGAGGTATGATAAGACAAGATCAGGAAAACTTGCTACAATTAATAGGAAGTTCTAAAGCTTCTAAGCTCTAAGACGATAGAGAAATTTATCATTAGCATCAATTCATGAGGTCTTTTAATGATACTGACCACATTTTAAATATGAAGTTGGACTTAAAGGAAACCAATTTTTAGATCCAATAAGAACTAAATGTGAACGTGTACACAATAAGCCATAGGCAGTGGCTTTTCTACAGGTATCTCTTATCTGTCTGAAAGAGGAGTAGTTGATGGGGAGCAAAGAGGATGGGGAAGGATTCTAGACATTCTCTGAAACAACGGGTGCAGCAGATCAACAAGTGGGTACTCTTATCCTTATCCTTTTTCTAGCAAACAATCAGGTGTCAATTCTGCAACTATCTTGAAAGGGAATCGAAATTCTGCCCTAGACTTTAGTTCTGATTGAGCCAGTATTAACTTCATGATTCCAATAACCCATCTTACCCATTTGGCTTTAGTTGAAGCAGATGACACCAAGAAAAATCTCTACCTTTTGGTTCCATGAAATCAACTGTTAAAGTAGTTGCTTTCATCTGACCCAAAAATAAGTCACAGTTTATTTTGACCTTTAAACTCAGGCCCTTCTCACCACCACCACTGACTCAGTTCTGAATCATGACAACCTACCATCAGGTTTTTGAGGCTGTAATTCTTTACAGGAGGAGACTGCCCATCTTTTTCCCATGGCAGGCTTGGAGACTGAAATGCTACTTCAGTTAAGAGCACAATGTGTTATATGCTCTGCCACCAGAATTCCAATACATTTTGACTCTCAAACTCAAACTTTCTGAAACTAGAATTTATTAAATAAGTTTTAGAGAAATGGATTGTGGGAAGGAGCCTCCGCTACAGATTGTTTCTCTAAGAACTAATGCTTATGAGAACTGAAGAGGCATTTGAGACCAGACTAGAAATCCCTAGAGGCAATAGCTGTGGCAAGATCTGGGTGAGTGCTGGCTGTCTTGATGCTCAGAGGGCATTTCCCTGGGACTTAGCATCCTCAAATTCTGAAGGGTTAGAGGTTGTTGAAGATTCTTCAGGAATTATGAATTCTGCCTAGAGCAGGCCTTAGCGACCCTTTGTGTTTAGACTAATCTCAATAGTTCTAAAAATTCCCCTAAAAGGAGACTAGTTTCCAGAACCCACTGGCTCAGAAACTTGTTCCAAGTTTAGAGGGGAGCATCAAGAGAAAGCAGGAATCTTTACATTTGACCCACTCCCTCCCCTTCACTCTAGCATTGGTTACCCTAAGCCACTCTAAAACTACCCTCGTACAAAGAGGAGGGAGCTCCCGTGGCTCAGTGTTGTGGGGCCAACCCAAAGGCATGTGGTTCAAATCCACCAGCTCTTGCTCAGGAGAAAGATGAATAATCTCCTCCCATGAGATTTACAGCCCTGAAAGTCTGCTTGGAGGATCAGCTATGAGTTGGTTTCAATTTAATGACTCACAACAACAACCATAAAAAGGAGAGAGACAAAAAATGCCAACACCAAAGATATACCTGAGCGTTAGACTGTAGTTTTTTAGCACATAAGCTTTTCTCTCTCATACCCAGATAACACTAACCAAGAGAGTTCTGTCTTCCATAGATGGACTTATGTCCTTTGCTGATGGAAAACTGCTCACAGTGGGAGAAAATGCAACAGCATTCATTTTTGCAACATACCCATCTCCATATCTGTCACCAGCAAATGCATTTGCAGACCAAGTAAGTAAAAATGCAACACTGATCTGATTCTGTTGAAAAGACATGTTCTAATAAAGGGGATGTAGAGCTAAACACCTGGCCAAATGACTGAAAGAGATCCATATTTATTCCCCTTTACCACAAAGGTGATCTGACAAAGTGTGCAAATTAATAAATGATAACACTAATAGCATATGCAAGAAAAATCCTGCTGAAGCTCATCCAAAAATTATTGGAACAGTACATCACCTGTAAGCAGGGATGCTATTGGCAACTTTCCAGGTGTTATGAATAGAGTCTGGCATAGTGTCCTTAACCAAAGTACATCAGTTATCACTAAACTTGTTATTAAAAAAAAGGAGATTATTTTTTAGTTGGGCAGGTAACTGTAGATAGGCTAAATTCTATGCATACTTTCTCCCTCTCCAGGTACTGGCCACCACATTCCTCCTCATGATGGTTTTTGCCATTTTGGATTCTAGAAACATAGGAATCCCCAAAGGTCTAGAGCCAATTTCCATTGGCCTCCTGATTATTGTCATTTCTTGTTCTTTGGGACTGAACAGTGGCTGTGCCATGAACCCAGCTCGAGACTTGGGTCCCAGACTCTTCACTTTTATGGCAGGTTGGGGGTCTGAGGTCTTCACGTAAGTAATAAAGGAAGGGGGTGGGGGGGATGGGAGAAGGATTTGGCTGTGTATTATCAGAGAAGGTTGTGCTTTAACTTGGGGATCCAGGAGAGTTCTTCTGAGGTGGGAACTCAGTGTGTATTGTGGTCCTAAGTGGAACATTGTTTTATGTGCAGCTCTGATGGCTTAGTGGTAAGAAATTGCACTACCAAAGCAAAAGTACATGGTTCTAATACGCCTGCTGCTCCATGGGGAAAAGATAGGAAATCTCCTCCCATTCAATTTTCTGCCTCTGTAAAACCACTGGAGGGTCAGCTATAGGTCAGTTCCAACTCAACAATAAACAACAACAATACATAAGAAAGAGTCCAAAGTAGAGACAGCAAAAGACAGTGAGAGCAAGTGAATGATAGATGGTGGTACAGACCAATAAATAAAGGCTTGTCATATAATAATAACCCTTCAATTAATATACGGCATTATGTGAATGTTTGGCTTAATGGGTAAGGGGTTACACTCTCAACTCAAAGACAGACCATCTGAATCTACTAGCTGCTCATTGGGAGAAAGATGGGCAGTCTCATCCTGTGCAATTTACAGTCTCTGAACACGGATATGAGTTGAACTCAACAGCTATGAGGAAATTTTTTTTTAATTACTTGACTATGCATTCACTTTGTAACAACACAGACTAGAATTTACCTCCTTTGACATTATACAGGGCTTTTTCTAGTGAATCATGCTTCACTTGCTTATTCAATTCAGTGGATGTTTATTAAACAATATTTATGTGTAAGCAGACGAAAGAAAGATATTTCTCTATTGTTGTTGAAAAGAATGGAAATCCCAGAACACTTGATCGTGCTAATGTGAAACCTCTACTTGAACCAGGGGGCAGTCGTCAGAACAGAGCAAGGGAACACAAAATTGGGAAAGGTGTCTGCCAGGGGTGTGTCCTATCTCCATACATTTTCAATCTATATGCATAGCAGATTATCCGCTAGGCTGGGCTGTATGAAAAGAAATCTGGCATCAGGATTGGAGGAAGACTCATCAACAACCTGTGCTATGCAGATGACACAACCCTGCTTGCTGAAATGGAGGAGGACCTGAAGCGCTTTCTGTGGAAGGTCAGGGACTGCAGCCTTCAGTATGGATTGAGGCTCAATGTCAAGAAAACAAAGATTCTCATCACTGGACCGATTGGCAGCATCAGGATGGATGGTGAAGAGATTGAGCTTGTTCACAGCTTTATTTTGCTTGGCTCCACAATCATCAGTCTTGGCACCAGCAACCAGGAAATTAAAAGACATATTGTAATGGGAAAGTCTGTGATTAGAGAACTCTCTGAAGTACTGAAGATCAATGATGTCACTCTGGAGACTACAGTGTACCTGATACATTCCATGGTCTTTGCAATCATTTGCTATGCATCAGAGAGCTGGACAATGACTAGGGATGATAGAAGGAGAATTGATGCCTTTGAACTGTGGTGTTGAAGAAGAGTACTGAATATACCATGGACTGCAAAGGAAACACACACATTTGTCCTGGACAGGGTGAAGCCAGGCTGATCCTTGGAGGCAAGGATTCTGAAGCTTTGTCTGACATACTTTGGACATGTTGCAATGAGTGACCAGTCCTTGGAGAGGGATGTCATGCTTGGGAGAGTAGAGGGACAGCGCAGGAGAGGAAGACCCTTGATGAGATAGATTGGGGTAACAAGGGTAAGTGTGTCAGAGACAATAAGGTTGGCAAGAGACAGAGTACGGTTTAGGGCTGTTGTACAAAGGGTTGCTAGGAGTCACAAGTGACTCAATGGCACACAACAACAACAACAACATGTTTTAAGCACTGTACTGGGCAAGAAAAACTCAGTTAAGTGAAACCCAGCTTTGAGAAAAGTATGAAGTGCTGGGGGAACACAGACAGCCGTCAGGAAGCCATCACTGAAGAGGTGAGAGCTAAGTGGGATCTTGAGGGACGAGTAAGGCGTTCCTGTCCCAGCAATCATAGAAGAGAGCTCATGCAGAGGACATGCTTTATACCTCAGCTCACACAGAGAAAATACACTAACTTGGTTCCAGCCCCTATTTCCTACCAGGACAAATGTCCCTACTGTTTCCTTTCCACTTTCTTTCCCAAAAGCCACAGTGGCTAATCCCATCACCTCTTACAGCTCTCTGTGAGAAGAGGAGCTCCTTTAGGTTCACCAGGAAACATGCCCACAATGTGAAGAAGAAAGACCAGCAGCAGAAAAACTTCATGTGAGCTAATTGCAGCTTAAGGTTTGCTGAGAGAACAAGGGACTTAGAATGATCCTAAACACTACCCTGGAGATATATAGTCATCTACATTGTGTTTATTTATTTATATGAGAGTCTGGGTTGCCTTTCCCAGGCATGGGATAAGCACTATTAAAACAAGTACCATTCAGATCACCACCACAGATTTCGGTGGAAAGCCTCTAGAGTGTAAGGATCACAGAGACAGAGATATCTGTGACAGGCCTAGGACAAGGTCTGGCAGAGAAAAGGGGCTCAGTAGAAATGTATGGGATCAATGCTATGTGCTATCCATGTCCTAGGAGGTAAGGGATTCAGAGACAATTAAGCAACATTCCTTCTCTTTGAGGAACTGACTATGCAATGAGTTATCGAGAGCTACTGTTATTGTTATATGTCATCATGTTGAAATAGCTGGTAGATATGAACCACCTGCCTTTGGGTTGGCAGTGTAACTCCTTTCCTCTAGGCTACCAGAGCTCCCACTTTAAGCAATGACTCTCAATTACAAATGGATATATTTGGCAATACCTGGATATATGTCTTCACTGTCATAACTATGAGTTGTTGCCGACATCCAGTGGGTAGAGATCAATAAAGGTGCTAATCTTCTTAAAGGACACAGACAGACCTTCACAAAAACCAAATCAAGCCTGAAATGCCAATAAGACTGTGAAAACCTGGACTGGCATGCTCATCACTAAAACATAGAATGGTCAAACAAAATGTCCCCAGTTAGGCAGGATGTCTTGTGCTGTCCACTGGAGCATTAAGTGTATGCCTCATGGGTCGCTTTATTCCCAGAACTAGCCCAGGAACTTCTTTCAATCTTGCCTGCCAGAGTCTGGCTGTAGGAGGCCACTTCTCCAATTGCATTCATATGGATCCTTGCCAAGACTGTCAAGATTTTCCAGGCCTTCTCTGACCCCACCCTGATGCAAAATCCAGAACCTTAAAAGCGATGGTCGCTCCAAAATAGGTCGAAATACTGCCTGTTCTTTCTCTACTTTTTAAAAGTACATCGTAGAAGAGCCCATGACTGTGGGAAAGGCTGGAGTCACCTAATGCCAAACCCTGGCCCCTAATCACTCATCATCACCAGGTCCTTTGCTTTCATGCATTCATTTATTCATTCATCTGACAGCTTTCTCTCTCTCTTTCAAGGCCCCTTGCCAAAGAGGATAAAAACCCACTTGGTGCCCTTCACTGGTTTATTATGTTTTACTCAAAAGGGGAAAACATAGATTCTTACACAAGGTTGAAACTATCAAGAGCTATAAAACTCCAGGAGTTGAGAAAAAGTAGAATCAGCTGGAATTATGGAGGCAAGATTTGTATATGCTGAACTCAAGCAGAGGGCTCTGAACATGGAGACAGGATGTTAAAAATAACAAGGAGTCTTAGTCTAACTGGAAAAGTGCTTGAAGAAGATTGGAAAGGGCAGTCACTATCTGATCATGGAGAAGCTAAAACCCAAGAGTGAATGTTTCTGCTTGATGCTGAGGAAAGATTTCTTATAGGTTATCCTGTGAGGCAAAGGATTCTAAACATGCTTTGCTTCAGCAAAAATAATCTAGCTTGTCTCTACAGGATGGATTGAGAGAAGAGAAAATAAAATATAGTCAGAAAAAAGATGGTCTGGTCATAATCTTTGGTCTAAGGTCTTCTCAAAAACCTTTAAGGGGTAACAGGCACCCTAAAGGGTCCCTCAAATGTACTATGTTTTCAGAGTTCTACATCAAACTCCTCAACAGACATCCTAGACTAGATCCACCCCCAAGATCTCAGGTAAAAACCAAGATTGCATTATTCTCAGGTTCTCACTGTATCTGTGGAAAGCAGGAAGGCTGGGCAGAGGAGGAGGATTCCAGGGTGTCTACAGCGAGTCAGCAAAGCCTGGCTGCCTCTTTCCCCCTTAAATATTTTGGATGTTTCCCCGTCAAAGTTTTCTCCACTAATTCACACTAAAGTGTCAATGGCTTAATGGGTGAAGGATCTCAAGAGTATTGTTGTTGTTGTTAAGTGCAACTCATAGCGACCCTATGAAGGAGAGCCCTCCACGCTTGGGTGCCTTTCATCCTCTCTCCAGGATCATAGGGTTTTCGGAGACAAGTTATTATGGAAGTGGATGCTACTCCTCCTCTAATCAAGAGTATTACTCACGTTAAAAAAAACACACAAACTGATTCAAAGAAATGAATCTATAGGGATGGTGCTTAAGACAATTGGGACAGATTGTCTTGTGTACGTGTAAGACTGACTCCAGGCAGGTAATCACATCTGAGCACGTGTGTTTATGACTTGTGTTCCCTAGAACCAGGTGTTCAGTTCTACACAGGGAAGTGGGGTCAATCAGTGAAAGGAGGACACGTGCCCTGGAAGGTATCTTGGGACTTAGTCTGTTAGATGATAGTGAAGGAAGAAATCAGCCAAAGGAACGTATACTCACTTTAGGTGATTGTCTCCAGACAGAGGCTCCTAATTATCTAAAAGTCTTGAGTGTCCCTCACTCTGCGTTTGCCTCTCAGAAAAAGTCTTCTAGATTTGATGGTTTGGGAAAGGGTCCTGTAAGAACGGCCAAGTGCAGCTTCCCCTCCACCACGAGGAAAGAGTGACACCTGGTGGTGATTGTGCACAACCACAATTCGAGTCCTAAAGTTCTTCAAGAGGAATGTTAAATGCCCCTCATAGTTGGAATTGACTCATAGCCGAGCCTCCAGAAGATTTTTAGAGGCTATAAGTCACACGGGAGGAGACTGTCTATCTTTCTTCTACAATGTAGCTGATGGCTTCGGAATCACATGCCTTTGGCTTAGCAGCATAGCCCTTTACCACCAAGCCACCAGAGCCTGGGTTTTCATCTTGCAGATGAGCACAATAACAGGTTGTGCCACCATGGATTATCCTAAAAGGACTGTACTAGGACCACAGCAATGGGCTCAAGTGTGTCAGAGATTGTGAGGCTAGGACAGGGTTCAGATCTGTTGTTCAAAGGGTCGACTCAACAGCACCTAACAACAACAGGTTTATTCAAGGTCATGTGTTCAAATTGAAATAAAATAATAATATTTCCGAAATTTAAAAAAAAAGTTAACTTAGCCCTGAAATTCAACCTCACTCATTCATTCCATCAAATACAAACGACTCTTAGCAGGCCCTTCTAAGTGGGTTATAAAGCTGTAAATTGCACAGAGGAGCTGAGGTGGGTTTGAATTGCTAACGTGGTCTTGTTAGCCACACAGCTCCCTAAGGGATATGCAGCCAGAGCTCACTGAGATGTGAACTATGTCCATGAATTCCAGGACAGTGCTCTTGGTTTTTTTGTTGTTGTTGTTGTTTTATTATCCAGACTTTGATTGGACAACAAAAAAGGCAACATGGACCATATTAAAGCCTAATGATGAAAAAAAACAGGCATGAATCTTCCCCAAACTGTCCACTCCCCATCTTTGTGCTCCTCCAAGTGTTCTGCTTTCCCTCATCCTCCTTATAGTTGTGCTTATCAGTTTCTGCTTTTAAAAAAATCTTTTATCAAGTGTACGTATTCATAAATGACATACTTCATATAGTTGCTCTTGCTTCTGAGCATTCAACATACTTTACACAAAATTATTTAAATACATTTCCCTTCTCAACAAAATAGTAGCAATATGGTGACAATTCACTTAGACACTGTATTTCCCTTATACTTACAGATTACATTTCTAGGACAGGGAGAGAGCCATGGCATAAATCAGAGAATAGCTTTGATCTGTGACCTGGAAACTTTTACCATGATGCTTTCCAATTAAATATTCTATTTTGAGAGCTTATTTTCATTTATTTTTAGAACTTATTTTAAAGCACTGATTTACAATGATTTTTAGGTAATTCACATCTCTGCCTTTGATTTTTATCAAATGCATTCATTGTTTCCATTGACATTTCTTATTCCTTTAACCTTAGTGATTTTTCATCAGAGCTAAGTGATGCTCAGGAAACTTTCCACATTCTGGAAAGAGTCACCATTCATGGGCATCATTGTTTTCAGTCATAATTTTTAAAAATCATTGTTTCAGGATAAGGGGAAGATAATTCTAACTGACTGAACTGAACTTACCCCAACTGCTCTCACTCTTGACCGTAATTTCAGAGGCATTATTGTATTTTCTTTTTTTCAGTTGGGCTTTGGGTGGAAATTTACACAGCAAATTCATTTTCCATGCAAACATTTTATACATTTTGTCTCTTAACATAAGTTGTAATCTCCTCAGTATCTCAGTATAACATGGTTCTACCCACCTTCTCCCTGGATTCCCTATGTGCAGCCATCCTTCCAGGGATCATGCTCTTAGAAAGGATAAGAAGTGGGAGCTATGACCTCACAGTACTAATAGGCCAATGAGAAAGATCATCTGAAATCAAGACTATAGTGGACAAAAAGGGACCTCTGAGTTTAGAAAGGCTAGCTGGTTAGTGAACAACTAGACAGTATAAACTGGGAAGTATAAACTACATCATTAAAATCTTCTTTGATTTCAGAGCTGGAAATAACTTCTGGTGGATCCCTGTAGTGGGCCCTATGGTTGGTGCTGTCATTGGAGGACTCATCTACGTTCTTTTCATTGAAATCCATCACCCAGACCCTGATACAGAATTCAAGGCAGCATCCTTGGAGGATAAATCAGAGAAACATGAACTTAGTGTTGTAATGTAGTGCTCACTTTTGATTTGCAGCTGGCTGAGCTGGACGACTCTTCAGAAAAGATGGCATCCAAGGGTCAATGTTTTCCTAAGACTAGGGTGGGCTCTGCCTCATATTCTCTGCTAGCCATGTGGAAACATCTGATTGGAAAAGCATCAGAGTAAAGGTTTGAAATCGCTGGCCGGTCTCTACCAGGTTTCCTTCAGAATAGTACTGAGTGTGTACAGAAACAGCCTGTCTTCTTCTTCCTCTCCCTCCTCCCCCACTTTTTAAAAAATTCCTTTAATAAGAATCTTTTTTACTGGGTGAGAACAAAAAGCTAGACACTTTGACTGTGGACTCCCTTGCATGGTCTCAGCTGCATTACCTGTACAAAATAGTGCTCTCAAAAGTCTTGTTTTCGACAACCACTCATTCTGAGTACCAACCAAAACCTAATTGAAAAATGAAACAGTGGTTTCTTTTAACTTCTCTGAGTTGGGTTAGGAAGCTAATGAGTTAACTACTTAACTAATGTTGTGTCAGTGGATTTATATAACTATTGATAGTCTTCAAATAAGGGGTTGGAGGGAGCAGCAGATTCCACCTGGAAAACCACAAGAGCAGTGTGACACGCAGAAAACTCTAGAGACAAGATGCATGTGGGTAATAAAACAGAATGTTCCTAATGGATACCATTTATTAGATTAATCTCTTGCTCTTCTGCATTTTAGAGGGCACCAATTAATTTCCTGATCTTTAATATGCAATAGCCTAAAATATCATTGTAACCTCAGTCATGAAAAATACATCACTCTGTATTTTTAGCTCAAATGTATTTACCTAATTGCCCACTTGAGGACAGAAACTGGCAAGTTAAGTCACTGGTTGCACTCATCCATTACTCCACACATGGTCTAGGAGCAAAAATAGACACTGTTGCAACTGAATTCTCAGGATAGAAATCTCTGGAGATAAAATATTACCTTAATGGACTTTAAAATTCACAAAGCGCTTTCAAACACATTCTCTAATTCAAATCTCATGATTGACATTCTGAGGTAAATACCAGGCTACCCATTTCTCAAGTGAAGAAACAAAATCTCAGGGAAGCTAAATGAGTTGCTCAAGGTCATGTGGAAGACTGAACACTGGCTAGGCAGCCCTTTCAGGAGATCCACACAGGCTAACGATTTTGACCAGACATCCTTGGTCGGCCACAAAATGGGGGCTTCAATCGTGGCTAGAAATGTTTACACTCTCTGGCCTCAATGCTCTTGGATTCTAAAGTATAAAGGCCTTCACAGTCTTCACATTCTTGCTGTTACTAAGTAACAATTTAATCGTATTTCTCCTCTTTTGGTAGAAATAAGCAGAAGCCCTTTGTAGAAAGAGCAAGGGCCAAGTGGGGATGGCCATATCTGACTTTTACCAATTTCACGAAGGTGAACTGTTCCTGGCAACAACATCAGCAACACAATACCCATTTCCCTGAGGTCAGACATGCTCCTCAAGCTCTACTATCTCTTTCTACTCATCTCACACCAATCCTACTGCTTTACGGGGTTCAAAAATCCAATACAATTGCTCACAGACCACACAGAGGTCTGTAAAAAGTTTATAATCCAGGTTAATAGCAGAATATAGTTCCAGCAGCTTCCAAAATGTGCTCACAGGCATAGCGTTATGCCAGGTTACAAAGTTCTCAGTCCTTCAAATTATGGTTCCACCTGCCCTCTCATCCCCACCTCTAGCTGCCCAACAAACTTGGCAAAGGCTCTTAAGCAGCTTAGCTCTAGTTCTGTTCATGTGGGGTAGGAGTCCCAAGGTCAGCTCCATCTCATGTTGGCTATCTGCTTCTCTGCTAAAGCCATGGCTGCTGCTGAAAGCCTGCCTGGTGCAAGAATGTATGGGCTGGTGTGGGGAGGCAGCAGGGAGGGGAGAACTTCCAATTCCACTGCTGGATCTGATCAATTAATGGTGAGACTAGCCAATCCCTTTGTGGATTGGTGCGACTACTGAATCCCCTTGGGGATTGGCTAATACACAGTATTCACATATTCCTACTCATCCACATGGCAAAGTCAAATTAATTGGCTAGAAAAGTTATTTTTAATAAACTCCACACTCTTCCTAGGCTGATCAATGTCTTTCTAAATCTTAGTCCTCCTTGTCAAAAATATTTCTCTCAAAGAATTTTCTCTAGGGCAGTTTCTTTCCTGGTGAGGATCTATAATTGGTATTGCTTTGGTCAAAAGGATCTCTGGGAGTTGCAAATATTACAACTACCTGAAAACTGTGGAAAATTACTCTACAAGTGGGACCCTTCAGCCAGCCTGTTAACAAGCCCAGCATTCTCAGAGGCATCCAGTTCCCTACCTGCCTTGAGATAACAGAACAGTTAAAAGGAAATATGAAAGAATCAATGGTGTAGCCTTACAGATATATGGAATTTTCACCCTTTTCCTCCTGAAAATATTTCCCTGACATTTTCTTTTTGAAATAAAGTTATTTTCCCATTTTTGGGTATAAGTATTAAAATTGTTAAGTACACTTAGTTCAGAGGCAATCTGCCCTAACTGTGAATCAGAATCTTTTGTGGAAATTTAAAAATGCATTCAGGCCTACTAAGTCCTTTGTGAAATATCTCATAGATGCATCTGAGGTTGAGATAGCTGACTTGGTTAAATTACACAGATGGGAGTCTTTTTAGAATCATATTGGATCATGCCATTCCTAGTGGGATTCTCAGAGCCTTGAGACTCCTGGATTAGAGCAGTGTTTCCAGCACGAGATGATGCCTTCCTCTTCCGAGATGAATATGTGGCAATACCAGGAAATATTTTGGATTGTCACAACTGGTAGAGGGTCAAGTGTGGTTCCACTGATATTTGGTGAGCAAATGCTGCTAAACATTGGGAAATGTGCATGAAAATCACTGGCAACAATCACTGACACTGTCACTAGTGCCAAGGTTGGAAGAGCCTGGAAAGGAGTAAGAGAATACAGTGAACTCCTAGGTCTCACGTCAAGTTCCATCAGAAAATGAGATGCTAAACAAACCAGCACAGACTCTGTGGGTGAATTATAATTCTTAGACAAGAATAACCCTATCTATGTCCACACAGGTGCTCATTAGACTACTTGATAATTAATAATTAGGATCTTGAAGAGGAAATGCTCTTATGGAAATGAATCCCAGGAAGATATTTTTAAAATAAGAACCCCCCACAAATCTCTTGCTCCAGGTGCTAATCCACAAGTCCCTGATTCTCTCTCCCCCTAACTTAGAAGACTCTGTTCATGTTTGTTTCTCACCCAACAGGAAGTTTATAAGATTGACTTTCTTATTTTAGAACTCAATTAGGTAGTGTCAACTAATTTATTTTTAAAATAGATCTTTTGAGAGTACAGATTTTAAGTCCCTCTTCCTTGTCAATTGAAAAAGTTGATATGAGCATTTATCTTAATGCCAAAAATGGCTTTTTAGTATCACCATCTTCCCCCCCAACTATTTAAGATATCAAAGCATGTGAAAGGTGAATAACTTTTCTGAAAGGCAGCACCAGAGTCAATATTCTGCTATTGAGAATCACTCATATCATCTTATGGGGACTGACTCATAGCTGACCCCTTACAGGGTTTTCCAGGCTGTAAATCACAAGGGAAGAGACTGCCCGTCATTCTTCCTTAGAGCTGCTGGTAGATTTGAATCACCTGAGAGCTGTGGCCTTTGGACTGGCAGTGCGGCCACCAGACTTAGCTTACAGACTAAGCCACCAGAATTCCCTTGGAAAAGGATAGTTCAACTTATGGTTGTCAAGTTGGAACCAACTCATAGCTGACTTTTCAGTGGTTTTCAAAGACTATAAATGAAACAGGAGAATACTGCCTATTTATTTTTTTTTCCCCTAAGAAGCAGCTGATGGGTTTGAACTGCCTGCCTCTGGGTTGGCAGCACAACTCTTTACTACTAGGCCACTAGAGTTCCCTATTGAACAAGATAAGTGGAGTAGGAATATTATATTTAAAAAGAAATTAGTATTCTCATTACACACATAAAAGAGTTGTCTTGGCATAGTGGGAATATGTGGAACCACTTACCCAAAGATTGGTGGTTCAAGCCCATCAGGAGCTCTAAGGAAGAAAGATGGGCAGTGTCACAAAGAGGTACATCCTCAGAAACCCAGTGGAAGGTTGCTATGAGTTGGATTCACTCACCAACAGGTTGTGGGTTGGTGGTTTGTTTTAAAGTGTGTCAGGGCTCAAAAATGTTATTGTTGTTGTTAAGTGCCTTCGAGTCGCAGGTAACTCATAGCCACCCTATGAAGGAGAGTCCTTGATGCTTGGGTGCTTTTCATCCTCTCTCCAGGTTCATAGGGTTTCCGGAGGCAAGTTATTATGGAAGTGGATGCCACTCCTCCTTCCAAGCTTGTTTTAATGGGGAGCTCCACCCCACTCTCTGTCTGCATTGGGTAGCCAACCATTAATGCATTTGACACATCAGTGTCACAGTGTTCAGCCTCACAGCAACCAAAGTGACTGCGGTATGGCAACTTGTGCACCAGGGCTATACGACCTAGAGGATTGTAGTGAAATATAATTATGACTCCTAGTTCTAGCAAGTGGTTTGTACATTTGAGCCTATTGTTCTAATAAAATTCTATGTGACATCCACAAGTAAATCAGAGCGGTTGTGAAAAGAGAAGGGGTGAGCTGGGAATCAAGAGGTTCTTTCTGTTCATTCTATCATCTTATCAGCCCCCAATGGAGCCCCTGGGCAGTCTCTGAAGAGAAAGTGCATGAAAGTACAAGCCCGGTGGTGAATGACATTCAGGACATAGTTTCATAATCTGAAAACCTCTGATAAAGGACTAAAGGACTTTGGACAAGTTGCTAGTTGACATGTTTGTAATAGTTACTCAGATAAAAACTTACCAGAAGCCATATTACTTCAAGCTCAGGTAATTTTCTAATATCTCCTTAACAACTCAAGTAGGCAGGTTAAAAAGTTACTCAATCTAATGGACATC